ATGAACAATTTATTTATTCAAATTATGATTTTAGGAGTATTTATAGTACACTTAAAGACCATATTTTCGAATACTTAAATTTTCAATACTCTTTAAGAGCATCTTGTGGCGATACAAACTTATTTTTTCAAATGAAACCCAACCTTTTTACTATAAATTGTTTATAAGATACATTTTTTGAAAATTAAGATAACCGAAGTACAAACGAGTTGTTTCAGGGTTATTCAACCTTATATTTAAAAGATAACAATTCCTAATAATAGTTTTAAATCAAATATAAAATATATATTTTAATATTACTTAAGTCTTGTATTTACTAAACTTAACCAATTTATATAAGTTATAAAATACTAATTAATATAAACTACTATACTTTTCGAATAACCATAGCCCTCGTATCTTTGAACCAATCAAGTCCATGTACTTTCACCCGTATGTACATAAAGCTTATTATTTTCATAAACTTCAAAAATATAATGTACATACACCAAAATTTAAAAAAAAATCATCAGCTTAAAAATGTACCGTAAGATTGATGGTTCTCGTTAGAAAAAAAAGTTTGTATCAAAACTAGTCACTCCTTCTTAAATTGCTTTAATTTAATAACTCATTATTTTGCAAAACATTAGGTATTATAGTTATTGTCTCTTTTCGTTAAAATATAAAATATTCGTTGATCAGAAATGACCCAGAAATATTTCATATTGGCCAATTGATAAAAAATAGTTGTATAAAAGAAAATTGACACTCAACAAAAGAGTAATAATTAACCTAACTATGTGGATTTTTTATTTGATTGAAAAATCTACCTCTAGTGTTGTTACATCAATACAATTTAACTTGAATTTATAGTATACATTATATCCGATATAATCCAGAAAAATTAATAAAAGTAATAAATATTTCAGTATTTTAAGATTTTTTCATATTATAAATATTTTATATATTTTAATTAATTAAAATATTAATAATATTGTGTAAGTCCCACGCTATTATAGCATTTAAGTATAATAATATTATTCAATTCATTTCAGACACAAATGAAAAATATTATGATTAAAGGATGATGGAATTTAAATTGCATCCTCCACAATGAAGAAAATTATATTTTATATTTATCTACGACTTTTGTCATCACCTCTATTCCCGGTTTCACTCCTCCATTACCCCTTACATAATCAGCGCCCTTTAAGCATACATGACATTATAGCTATACTTAACAACACAACCACTTTAGTAATATTAAAACCATTCATCTCTTCAAAGATAAATCTGGCATTTTATTATAAATATTGTACACTTTTTATAACTATTTAGTATTTACTATGACAGTGTTTTTTTTAACATTTAATTTTTGTGGTTTTATTTTTCTATTATATTTTACAAGCATACTAATGATTAATGAGTTATAAAAATATTTGGATAATAAAACAAAATAAAAAAATACACGTGACCCATTAGTTCTCATAATTTATTTTATTATTAAAATATAAATTTCCCACCACAATTAATCACTCAAACAAATTATAAAATTAGGATGTTGACAGATCAAGAAAACATTCTAAACGTTTAATTTAAAATATAATAAAGCGAAATTATGTCAATTTTAGGGTTCTGAATATAATACACTAAAAAAACTAGTAAGTACCTACATTTCAATTTTCAAAAATCTAACTATAAATGGTAGAAAATGAACTAAAAAAACATTATTTTTAGTATGAACATTTTTATTTATTAAATTATTTCGATGAATCTAAATTGTTTCAATCGTGGACATTTATCGAATTCTTGTAATAATATTCTGTACACTTGACTATTAATGTCGATTCAGTGACGTGTGCAAGTTAAACTGTAAGGAAAAGCTTTAATGTAAATGCCCAATGAACTTCTGAGAACTATCGGCAGGTGAAATGGTTTTTTCATTTCAGATAGGTACTAGGTACTCTGACACCTTGGCAGTTTATCAATAACCTTTATTAAGTTTTGAATTTTAATATGGATGTTATTTAGACAGAATGAGATGTATATTATATAAATTACTGATAACAAATTGCAATGAAAATATTTAATGAATCAAAGAATAAAAAAAATGTATGTTCCATCTGAGTTTCGTTCAATGAAACAACTGAAATTATATTATTTTCTTTTTAATGAAGTGAACTTATACAAATTTATTTTATTTTTAGTATGAATTCCATAAATTATTATTCTATTTTTGGAACTTTCAGTTAAATGTACCTGCGCATACAATGGTATAAAAAAATGTTTATATTAAAAAATAGTTAATGCAATAAATAAAGTAATTAAACTAAAATTTCAAAACTTTTATCTGCCTTAGCTTAAATCAGTTAAATTGTGTACTATATTATTATTATGTGTCGAATTAATAATAAATACTGTTAACATATTAATTACATACAAATAAGTTACGTATAAATGAAAGAATGAATAATAATAGCTGACTGTTGAATGTAGAAATTTAAATTGATAGCACACTTACAAGTTACAACTCAATTAAGCTATTACATAAATGTAGTAAAATATTAATGACTAACTATCAAGATATATCAATATATTGTTATGCACTGAAGGAGTTTAAATGTGGACTTGGAAGAGACTATTTCGTATTATTTAAATTTGACGGAAGAGCAATGCAAAAATTCATCAAATTTCAGAAGAGAAGAGAGTATATTGATATCTATAACTATTAATTGGATCAAGGAGTGAACAACTTATGGGACATTTATAAAACATGAGACCTTCATAACTAACATAATGAAAAAATCAATGGACTCAAAGAAATAGAAATACGGAGCAAGATACTCCATACGTAGGAGAAATGATTGGAATGGCATTATGGCAACCAGTGCAACGGTTATCCCCCATATGAAGACAATGGTGTTGAAGGGAGATGGATGGAAGTCCATTTTCGCTATAAAATCTATGCACAAAATCTTTTATTAAAAAATTACTTGCAATAAAGTGTAATCTTAACCATATAGACATATTGTGACATATGAACAATACACCAATAATGCTTCTAAACCATATTATATAACTAGCCAATTATGTGTTTTATTAAAATTATTATTTTGATTTGATTCCTTCGGGGAGCGGTAAAAAAGCTCAACAAGTTCCAAGGTAAGAAGTTGTGTCAGTGACCCACCCACCCACCTCGTGAAGTCTTGTAACTTGTTTTTAATCTTATTTTCATAATACAATTATAATTATTGTACATTGTAATATTATATTTATCATATTTCATAAAAGTTTTATTGTAGAATCATCAGACAATTATGTATAAAAGATCATATCGTAAAAAAACATATAGGTAGGTAGGTAACTTAATAATAATATACAATTTAAATTGACGTCACAAATTATAATACCATAAGATTAATATATTGTTAGATTAAAATTGTTATTAATGAAAAGTTTACTATAATTTAATTCATATCAAATGCAATAACTAGTAATCATTATAATGATATAATATATAGATGCACTAATATTGCATACATCTAATTTCATTATTTTATAAATGCTAAGAAAATACACATTGACCTAGGTGATAACCATGTATAGATAGTGCGTATAGTATAATATTGTTATTTACACATGTTTTATTTTATATGATTTTTAATACGTTACCTAAACATTTTAATCGTAAAATATTTTATAACTTTATTCAAAAATATTTTGATATGTAATTATGTAGAAGAATAGCAATAATATTATGATAGGTAACCATAAATTAATTTTTTTATAAATTAAAGTTTTTATATAAAACATTACAGACGTATTTGACATACTTTTCTTTAAAAGATAATTTAAACAAGTACTAAACCTCCTAAAGAGTAAAGGTTATATTGCATATTATCCTGTAATTAATTACAACTATTGACTCATTACCATATATAAATTTATGAAACTTGTGAATCTTCAATGAACTTATAAATTACACAGCTATAGACCAATTTAACGACAGCATATATTATTATAATACGTCTATTAAATATTTTAAAATCAGAAGTTTTCCAAAATCACAATTTTAATAAAAAATACGATAAATCATTTATTATTTTGAAAACATTTTTGGACTCCAGGTTTTAGTTATAATATTATTAGTAAGACCCACATTGTGATAAATCGGTTTGTTATTCACTCATTTTGTTTTCTATGGTCAATTGGTAACGCAGCTATACGTTTATACGCCGTATATCATATTATTTTATATTACAATATAACATAGCTTTTATATTATTTACAAAATTGTTTATGGCGTTCATGCTATAAGTCGTTATTACTCATTATGATATATTATAGTAGATAGGTACAACAAAACAATACGATCGATTGAGTAATTCTGATGGTTTCGATATTCATGTTCAATCAAATTTGTTTGTTTTTTAAACCAGCCGAGAACCGAGAAGAACAATAAATTTCATAAAAACAAACCGCGTACTTACGGCGTGTGCATATTATAATATTATTCTCCACGTTTGTAGTGTCAGGAAATTTAACATGCCTTTGAGTACAATTTGTATAATATTTATGGCCGTAAGAGGTAATATATACCTGCTGTAACAGAGATGCGACTGATACGAGTTTAACTTTGGGGTATGAAAAAACGAACGTAATCTATACTCTATAGGTAGGTTTGACGTCGTCACCAGGTCTAGAGAGGCATTTAAAAATATTTGACGTAGTAATTGGGGAGAGGGGAGGAATTTAAGTTGGCTGAGGTTGGGTTAGGTTTTGCTAGGTGGGTTGAAACTCTTGAGCCGAGTCTGGCCAACTACGCAAAGTGTAGCTCCTACATTCACCTGTACAAACTAAAACCTCGACTTAAACGTACCGGGACGTTGCGTAAGATAGCTGCTAAGTTGCATAAGACCCCCTCCTACCCCCTTTTCATAACAAAATTGTTGTGTCAAACTGCCACGAAGCAAAAACCAACAACAACAACAAAAAGGTATTATAAAAAATAGGATTCCTACTTGTATGTGGACGTCTCTAAAAGGCGCGGAACGACTGCAGCAATCGGCGGCCGGCACGTGGTGGTGCGGTGGCTGCAGCGGCTACGACGGACGCCGGTATCGCCGGCGACTAAGGCGGCGACGGCGCCACGACCGGTGCGTGGACGGCGGTGGACGTGGTTGGACGGCCGCCGCCGCATGACGGCTATGCGTGGACTACTCGTGGTTTTTTCCCCTTCGCCGTCAAGTGCTGTAGCGTAAGACGCGATCTTAATAAATATTGTCGTCCACCAGTGACGGCAGCGATAACGATATTATTGTCAATCGAAATTAAAACAATAACACGTGCGTATGTATGCCGACCGCGAATATATAATTATTATTATTGTTTATGATTCTGATATTAGTTATTACAATAAATATTGTTATCACACGTGCGACGTACTAATGTTGTGGTAGGTACTTATTGCAAAACGAATGTTGTGCAGGCACTCGCAGCCGGGAAAAAACACGCTCGCGGACAGGCGCACGTGTACCTACTGCCGCGTCGCGTCACATATTGTCGCGCTGGACCGGTTGTGTTACTTTCGCCCCGCTGTGGCCGGCCGGCGCGAAAAAAATCTCACCGGTACGACGCGGTATCAGGTGGCGTATTATTAGGTATTATCGTATGACGCGCGCCGGTTGAGCCGGGTGGCGGGTAGGGAAGGGTGACGTTGGCGCCAATTAATAACGGGTAATAATTATTAAATTATGATATTATTATTGTGTATCGACGACGACGACAACGATGACAATAAAATAATACGATCGTGTCGATCGCGCGCGGAAGAAATTCGTGCGGTGGTGTCTCGTGTGCGTGTGGCGCGCGCGACCGGAACGTACGTCAAGTAGGCGCCTGGCCGCGACCGTTACGCTATGTGTACTGCACAGCTCGGCGCTGGGATCATTGCGTTTGGCGCGCGCGGCAGTCGTCGTCGGCGGCGGCGAGCGGTACGGTGTGCGCGCGCGCGTGAGTGTGTCGGTGCGTTTGCCGGTGAAGCGGCGGCGGCGGCGGCGGCGGCATGAGAGAGAGTGATCGCCGGACCGGTGACGGTTGGGCGGGGTGGAGGGGTTAGACGGCGGCGAGCGAGCGAGAGAGACCGTCGGAGAGACGCGGCCAGCGCGACACGTCAGCCACCGCCGCCCGCCCCGTCGCGAACCGTTTCTCTCTACCCCTCATCGCCCCCGACTACATATACGCTAACCACGCGCCCGGCCACTCCGTCGGGCCTCGTCCTCAAGCTCCGGCTGCGGCGGTGATCCTCCCGTTGCCACGGGTGACACGAGCGTTGCGCGCGCATCCTCGTCCAGGGATAATTTTTCCCATCCCCTAGTCCCGTAGTCGCCGACTCTCAAACACTGCAACTGTCACGTCTCTCTCGCTCCCCCACCCGCAACCGATCGCTCGCTCGCTCCACGCAACTCCACACCCCCGCCGACCCGCGGTCGACCGTTCACGGGGGCGAGCGGGGCAGAAGCTTAATTTTTACACTTTTTGAGCGAATTTTTTTTCTGTTTACCCTCTTTTTGCACAGCATTTAGCCGACGTACCGTGCATTGTCCCACACACATACTCACACACAACTCCGATGGAGAGCTCGGACTTCGCAGGCGGTCCAGTGCGTTGGGAGATCGTCAGAAGGGGACAAAATTTATAATTTCCAAATTAATTGCTCGACGCCTCTACTCGACCCAACGACCGTGGGGTTATTTATTTGGGGGATGCTGAGGGTACTGCCTGTGTGGAGTAATCGTCGCGTAGGTGTTAGTGTAGAGCGAGTAAACTCGAAAATAATATTATTATTGCCGGTTCCGAGAAAAAAGGATAAGTAAGTTATTACTGATTACCGGTTTACATTCGTCAAGTTTTCGTTTATTTATTTTCAAATAACAGTTCGTGGAATTAATCTATTTCTGGCGCTTCCGCCACCGCCACTGCTGCCGCCTTCTGCATCACGTGGGATTTTCAATTCTGCTGCATTTGTAGTCTGTTGACCCTTCCGTCACGGGCACAATACCTTTAAAATTACGTCAGTCCCTTGACGCATTTTGATTGATTTTTTTTATTTATAATTTTGATAAAATAAACATAAAATAAAGTTTCACAAAAATCGAATTATATTACGTACATATTTAATAACAATAGGCACCTGCTTAATCTATTTTCTATAATAATCCCACATAATAATATACAATATACATGTTATATGTTTCAGACATATTCCTAAGATTAATAGGATACGTGCATACGAGCTTTTATTTGATTATTTGTTTTTGTTAAAATATTATACTTTTGATGTACCTATAGTGTATACTGAAGTTGGTATTATTATTATAATATTGGTATTATATTTTTACCTACCCAATAACTTATTATGAACACCGTTTATAGATTTTTATGTCGAATAAAAAGTGAAAAAACGTTAAAATAAAATCGTATTACAAAAATATTAGTGTTTTCTTTTTTATTAATTTTAATCTGCATTTTATAATTATTATTATAAATACAATAAATTACAACTACAAATTTGAATTGTATGTAATTAACATAGATGGATTTTTTTATATAATCCTATCGTAAAATTTAAAATGTACAAGCTTTATACCGTCAGCAAAAGGTGGCGATATTTTAAAATATAAAATTTCAGAAATGTCATAAATCGAGTTAAACATGCAATTAAAATTGAAAAAAGCACCAGAAATAGAATGGCGTGGTCAAATTGTATCCACATGTACCATTTATGCTTATGATTATTTTATGTTAAAACTGTTTCAAAATGAGTAATATTGTTACCTAGTACCCTATACCTACAAAACGTACCTTTCCACACTTAACTCAGGGTAAAAAAACTATTTCCAAATTACATTAAAAAGTTGTATTTCCTTTTTTCTTAGGATCGTCTATGTTTGGTATTAAAAAAATAGGTAAAGAGCACTAAATCCAATTATTATAACAACACTTTGTAGTTGCATATTATGCCAAAACGCACAAGTTCTGCATGTAGATACTAGCAGTACCTACTATAATAAAAATAGCAAATTAAATTAATTTCATCATAAAGACATGTACTATTTCCAGTTGTTTTAAAAAATCTAAAAACTTTTTTATTATATTTTCAGTAGGTAGATGTATTAAATAAATGTACCAAAATAAATTGAACGAATACTTTCGATTTCATCTATCTGTCGTCTGATAACATTATTTTCATATATATAGAATTATGAAAATGTTTCATAAATACAGCACTAGAAGTGCACAACATGCAGATAGTCAGTTTTTTAGTTTATAGCATTGAATATTGATGTTACCTATATTCAAATTGCGACTAAAAACTTTTTTTTACTTGTTCTTATGGGTTAATAGTTATTACTTATTAGTATTACTTAATTTATATCACACTTCGAAAATGTGTAATACGAGAATATTTGATTTGTGCTCCTAGCGAGAGTATAAGGAATTTAGTACCAGGTAGATATCCTTGATTGTCTAATACAATACCTAGTTATTAAAATAATTATAATAGTATCAATGAAAGTATAATACAGGTACCTATACTATTATACAATACAACATGCATTAATAAAAACTTATAAATCAAATTACATTAATTTTAAATATTGTTCTACTGTGACAGTGTTACTCAGCTATTAAGTGCATTTTGTATGACATAATACATATTGAAATACAATTTGATGAATAGTGAACAATGTTTAAACGCAAAATAAATTTTTAATCAAATTTTAAAATTGTATTTGTGTTGATAAAAAATAATTCCAAAACATTATAAAGAACACTAATGTCAAAATAATTGTACTTGTACAGTTGTGCCTATATCAAAGTTGTGTTAAAAATATTCCAATCATTGAAATATTAATAATATACCTACTTAACTTTCACAGTAAAAAATATACTTTAATCATATTAGGTTTATTATATTGTTTCAGCCCATTCATAAATAATAAGTAAAATGTTATTATTTAGTCATTCAGTAAGTCGCTGTATGTTTATGTTAAATTTGAATTCAATGATAAATCATGATAAATATGATACTTAAAAATGATTTTGATCGAAGACAGTATGTCAGTATGTCGGCCTATATATTACTAAGTATATTATATGATATATTAATATTTCTGTTACCTACATTAATATTTTATTTTTCTATTAGAAAGACAGTAGGTTGAATTATTTTTCAAAAAATGTAACCATCCATAAATCACAAATAAACTATAAAAAGTTGAACATTTTAAATACCTATAAATAGCACGAAAAGATAAAAAATACATTTTGGAAATTATTGCATGTCTATTAAATGCTAATAAAATATATGATCAAAATCTCAAATCACTGTGGAGTATACACCCTAACTTTTGAGTTACAACAAAACGAAATCAATTTTTTCGGAAATTGGTTTTAAGTAAAAATTCCAGTTCATTCTTAATTTTTTTCCTTTGTTATTTTAAAAGTACTAGTTATTATATATCACCCTTAAAGTTGAAAATCGAGCCATTTTTACCCTTAAAATTAATGACTGATATAAAAATAAAAAATATAGTTCTCTAGTAATTTAGAATAGAAATCGTGGTTCCTACAAAAAAAGATCTAGAATAGAATTGTACGTTTTCAAATGTTATCCAATATTACATTATTTAACAATAGTCAATAATTCACCTTAATGTCATGCTTAATACATTTAAAAATAAAATATAATGAATTAACAGATTTAACCTATGAACTCAAATAAATATATTTAATTAAAAAAAGGTAAATCAAGACAATTCGTTGGAGTATTTCAATCTACTAATGTAGCTAAATATAACCCAAACTATTCCCAAGTTATTTATTAAAAAATAAATTTAAATAGTTCAAGACATTTTAAGAATAATAAATTACATGGTCTTTCTAATTAATGCAATCAAAAAACTTAATTGTTCAAAACATACCAAAAAAGTTTTAATTATATTTGTGTATTGCTAAAAGAGTAAAGTTTAAATCAAATGCATTTATGCACCATAAATAAACAAAAAAAAACGGGGAAGTCCCTTTGCTGTAAGTAAGGTGTCGAGGGCTCTTCATCATTTGGTAGTTCTACAGGAGGGCAAGTTAATGTATTACCAAAGAGTAAAATTTTGGGAAAATTTTAAAATAATTGAAGACTATAGGAATAAAAATAAAAATAAGTATTCTAATGAATAAAGATTTAAGTAGATTTACATATAAAAAATATAATATTATTTAGACTCAAAATATTCATTGATAAACAATTAAAAATCAAAACTTATAAACATAACATTATAAAAAATTTAAAAATGTTGTGAGAATTGAATTAATACAAATAACTGAGTTATTATCTGATCATCATTTATTTATGAGTTTTCCGTGTACAGTTCCGAACTACGCTTGTACAAAAGTACAAGTAATCATTGCACTTAAAAAAAGTGCTTTAGAAGAACTTTTTAATTATTAAAAACAATGAGTGAAAATATTACTAACAACCATGATACGAGAGAAGGTGCTAACGATTCAATTAATCAGATAAATTTGAAATTCATTATGTGCTTACTTAACCTTTAGAATAGCATAAAAGTCAAATTGTTCACGTTATTTTTACTACCATCAAAAAAATATCTCACCATCGAAGCAGCAAAAAATAATAATTAACAGTTTGATAAAATCTATTGAAAAATTAATAAGGAAAAACGGATTCAACAGTTTTAAACGAAGGAAAATATACCACGAATCGACTAAACGTTTCATCGAAAATCGTAGAAAAGCGTAAACGAAAAATTCCACCAAAGACGTCGGAAACCGTCAATTCAGACGTTGAGTTAGATACAGAAGAAGATAATCTAGAATATCCTGTTTTCAATCGATGGACTCAACTTTGT